GTTTTATTAAGTAAAGACTTGTGTCGTTAAAGCTTCGTCGGAACGAATTTACGGAGAGTTAAGTAACAAACGGAGACGTAACACTGTCTTTCGTAGAGATAGACTACCACTATGATAATATTTTTGCCATTTTGTACATCTTATAAAAGGAAGGAGGTTGGGAGCTTTACTTTGTAGAAGTTTAGAGTAGTTTATTTCTACTTTAAGGTTGTATCTAATTATTAATGGTAACTACCTTCCCACAACTGGCTGCAGACAGCAAAAGGCAGTAGGAGTTGAGACATTGATTTTCCTTAGTTGCTGGCTGGTTTGACATCGGCGTCTGGATCTTATCTGATAGATGGAATGTCCTCGCGCTTGGGGGCTATGGCCGCAGACATTATTCGTTATGGCTTTTAATGATGACAAAAAGGGCTAGTAATGGTAAATTAATTATGTTTTAAATCTCTTTGTAATGTTTTTGATTTATATTAATTTAATCATTATTGTTTTGTAATGCTGATTAAAAATTCGCCTATTTACAATTAATGTATTTGATAGCTTTAAAACTATTGATTTAGATACATATATATATATATATATATCTTCTAGAAATTAACAGATGAGTAAACACATTTCATGATTAAAGTATTGAAAATAACGTAGGTAGGTACATAATAACTCCAATTGAGTGTTTTATTTGTAAGACCTAGTTACGAAAAGTTGAAACCTGCCAACAGGTTGCAGTATACACTTGTGAATATTCAGGACTTGTTACATTTTGGTTTAATTTACTTTTCTTAGGTGTAGGTGATGCTTGTTTAAATTTAACGTATAAGTTTTGAGTGCATGTGTTCTTTAGATCACAGTAAGTAAGGTTTACACACTCACGTGTAAAATAAATTTTAAGTTACTCCAGTACAGTCACGTATATTAATTATTATTAATATCTGTCATGTTTATTTTCTGTGGCAAACCAGGGTCTAATTCTTTTTATAAATTATACAAAATTATACTTTTTTATTGTTTAACTTATAGTAATACCGATACTAATCATACTATATAACATAACTTTAAGTATATTGATTGCCAATAATAACATGGCATAACGTATTTGAAGTTTTCCCATATTAGTTATTATTAATTTTATAATTATGCGTAGTACTACTTCAGGTTTTAGATTTGTAGAAGTTGGGCTAAAAAAACTTTTGACAAAAGTATTTTTTCCCTTTTCTAATGTGACATTTTTATTTTATAGGCCCGAAGCAGGAAACTTGTATTCTAGTCCATTTCACTAGAAGTAGAACTTAGAAGGGATTCCAGAAATCCTACAGGTGTCCTGAAACAACGGGGATCGTAGATATGAAGAGTCAATATTTGAAATTGATAGTTGATGCAGTCATAGCCAGGGGCGACACAATGATTATAGGATAAGGTATGGGTATGCTTGTGAAGAACAAAGCAAGTGAGCTTCTGAAGTTTTTCACAAACATATAAAGATTGCCCTATCATCTATTAAGAATTTTAGTATTGGCATATACTGCTTTTTTTTCACTCTCCTATACTGAGTTCAATGAGATAACTTCTTACCCTTCTTTTCTCAAAAGAAAATACATTAAGAGATCTTAATCTCTCTCCCTAGGATAACCTTTTGAACTCCAGGATCATCCTTATAGCTCTCCTCTGAACCATTTCCAATAAATAAATACCCCAAAATGACAAAGAAAGGTAACCTTTGATTCACATTATAATTGTATATATCACTGTCTGTTGCTATTAGTGACATGTATGTATTGTATGCCTTCTTGTTATTCATGTTTCAAAGGGTGAGATGTGAACTGTTTTCTCCAATTTCAACTCTTGAACAATTTGCAAATTATGATGAAGGTAGCTGGATTCATGCTGAAAGCTATAATTTTGCAAATGAAAATGAACTACAGCATCTATCTGTTACAGATAAACCTGGAAGATTTATTCTAAACTCTGGCATAAAAAAGTCATCCTTGTTCACTCGTGGAACAAAACGCTATTTAAGAACAAAAGAAAAAAGAACAATAGTTTATAGTATAAGAAAAAGAGATGAGAATACTAAAAACATGGAAAATAGCTCCATAAATGAAAGATCCTCTTCACAAAGCCAAGATGTTACAAGTAATTTGGTCAACATTACATCTGCTGTGGAAACCTTAAGTAAAAATAATGATAAAAATGTGGAACAATCTAGAAATTTCTTTAGAAGAATTCACATGACAATTACACGTTCAAGAGATGCAATCTGGGCTTTTACAGCTTTGACATTGTTGTGTGTTCTCCTTGCAATAGCTGTTTTATGTTCTCGCATGTGGCAGGATTACCATGGCATACCACTTTATCAACCTTCTTTACCCGATCTTCATGAGAAGATACCTTTTAAAGGTAAGGTTATTGTTCTTGCTACTACCTATCAGTTTTGCATGATAAGAATACTCCATGAGCTAGATATAATAAATATACTGCATTAATATGTCCAAAGTTGGCATAACTCGAGTTAATCTGGTTCTAGTCTAATATACAGAAAATACAGGATATGTACTTACCATTCCTTGCAGTTTAAATAAATGCTTGAAACTTAGTAGTTGACAGTTTTTGTTGACTTCTTAAGAACATATATTGTACCCTTTCATGGGAATTACATATAATAATAATAAGATATTAAACTGCATACCTTCCAAAGTTCTTGGAAAGCATTAACAATTTGTGCTTGCACAGAGTATGTAAGTTTGTTAATTGGTAAATTTATAAATGATGTGTTTCACTGTTAGATATAGATACATTTCCTAATGTTAAAGATAATTTTTGATCTACTTGTTAAGCTGTGTTTTTTGTTAAATTTGCTTGTATGAGAGTATACCATGTAAAGCAAAGTATACATATGACTATACATTAAATAGTAAAAGTTGGCAAAATTACATAAGATTTGTTTTCATTTTGTTATACATATTTGTACATTTTCACTCTGCTATTTACATAGAAATTCATAATGATTTCTAGAAAAGCCAAACACCAACAAATTATAAAGTCCATGTGTCTCTATTATTTGTTTCTATAATTAATAAAAGAAATGTATACAGACTAACTTGTCTACCCTGTGAACAAAATTATTATGGGGAAATGTGTTGACATGTAATGGAAATTGTTATGGAATATGAAAAAGATTCAACTAAAAGGAGTGACTGCAAGCCCTTTGCCTCATGTTATAATTCCAACCACTGTAATGAAAAATGCCTTTTTCTGGAAGAATTGTTTTGAAACCAATAACTCTGTTGACAGAAACATAAGTGAGCATTTTTTATCAGTAATTAAAAAAAAACAACCTTAAATAAGAAATTCACACGATCTTGTTAACATTTGCCTTTTTTATGAATTGTTAAGTTTTCTCTGTAAACATTTATTTATTATTGTTGTTTTTTTCTTAAGATTTTTATTTAGTAGTAAATGGAATTCTTCGTAATGCAGAAAGACAAACTTTACTTTTAATTGAAAAATAAAAAACTTGTTAATATTAATAAAGGTGTTGGTGAATAAAGTAGAATTAATCATTTTATAATAAATATAGAAAAGTTAGATTTTAAACTATACATACCATTAGTATACATAAAATTTCTCTTCTATTAAGCTTGAGTATTATTTCTAATTAACATTAGTACTGTTGTGTTTTATATTACTTAGTAATTATCTTGTGCAGTATTGAAACCTTCTTTTAAACAGAAAAATGAGCTGGCACCAAGCAGTCATTTGATTTGGGCCTAAGGCTGAAACTAGACATTTAATAAATTTATACGGAGGGCCGGACTTAAGGGATGGCAACTGGAATATTTGTCCAAGGCCTTGGGCTACTGAGGGGCTTACAGTCTAGGTTAAAATAC